GTTGCTCCCTAGCACTGTTTATGCATTATTACTAGATGGTGAAAGAGTTCATTAACCTCTTTACCGTTAAAAATGTGAACAATATCACTTAACACTAGTTTGGCATACAAGGGTATGCTCATAAAACAAGCCAGACCCCCGATTTGAATCATAGTAACAAGTACAGCCATTGCAGAAAATTTATTATAACGACGCAGTAAGATAAAACTCTGGATGCACGATCGACCGACTTATCACATGTTTAACATATTATTACAAGGCCCCTGCTTACATAGTTTATGGTGAAATATAGGCGTGAGCTAACGGTCTGTAAAAATACCGGTCACGCTCAACATGCAGAGAGAGAACTCAACAAACATACACCCTTCGGGACACACCCCTGTCTAACACAACGCACATTCTCCAGAATGCGGTGATGACGGGTTCATAATTTCGTGATGAAGACCGACTGGATATTCAGACACCAGCAGCAGGACCTGATTGACTTTTTCTAAAGATAAAGACAATTATTTGCTTTCAGGAACACGCGAATCCTAATGCCTAGCGCTTCACAAGATAACATAACAACGGTTGCTCCATTACAACATAGCCAGGAAGGACCTGATTGACTTTTTCTAAAGATAAAGCCAATTATCTGCTTTCAGGAACACACGAATCCTAACGCCTAGCGCTTCACAAGATAACATAACAACGGTTGCTCCATTACAACATAGCCTACACGTCAAGCCTCTTTTAGCATACGTGTATCTTATTATTCTTGAATATAAGCGTTTAGTCTAAATATGTTTTAACAATTCTTTTTGTTTTTGCTTTACAAAGGTGTTAAATTGAACACGTTTAACTAATACCTCATTCAAGCGCTGTAGACTTTCAGGCCAGGGAACTACAATACCCAGCATACACCTCAGACTTCAAACATGGCCACCGGGGATCCATATCCCTAAATACTCATACATGGCAGCGCACTAAATCGTCGGACTTCCGATTAAACGCATGCTCAGATACCCTATATAAAAAGACTCACATTTACACACTTTTTGTGAAGTATACACTCCTTCCATGTTGTGATGTTACAAACCCCTTTTTTGTGATCCGTGTTAGTGCTGCAAAGTCCGATTCACTTCAGCGAAACGATTCATTTGGACAGTTCGGTTAAATGAACCGGTTCAAATAACCGATTACATCGGCTCCTTAAGTCATCTCGCAGTTATGTCAGTATACATTTCTTTTCTAACAACTCAAGGTCATTTTATATCAGTGAAACGTTTAAATAAAGTTGACTGTGTGAACGCGTATTGATGATTATTGTATTTTGTTCATATAAGCCAATATTTCTGTGAATTTGGTTGATTTAATAAAATATCACTTTAAACCTCGTCTTCATTCGAGACATTTATTTTACATTATTATATTATCCTAGGTTATATCAGATATAAGATACAAGATAGTTTCTTATTAATTATTAATTAGTATTAAATTGATAACAACAAACAAAAAAGTTTATTACGTCAGAGAACAGAATAACGAGTTAAGTGGGTCAACCTTTTATTTCAACAATATATTGTTGAATATATATTCATACATCAAAGTAGTGAAGAAAATTATCAAATTGCCATTACAAACAAACAGTACTAATGACATTACAGACGATCTAGCCAGAAAAGAAAACAAAGAGAAAGAAAACAAAGGATTGGTGCATGAATATATATTCAACAATATATTGTTGAAATAAAAGGTTGACCCACTTAACTCGTTATTCTGTTCTCTGAGTTAATAAACTTTTTTTTTTGTTGTTATCAATTTAATCAAAAGAAAACAGTTAGACGGAATAGAACGTACGAGCGTAGACGGAAAATAATTAATAAGAAACGATCTTGTATCTTATATCTGATATAAATTCAACAATATATTGTTGAAATAAAAGGTTGACCCACTTAACTCGTTATTCTGTTCTCTGAGTTAATAAACTTTTTTGTTTGTTGTTATCAATTTAATACTAATTAATAATTAATAAGAAACGATCTTGTATCTTATATCTGATATAACCTAGGATAATATAATAATAATGTAAAATAAATGTCTCGAATGAAGACGAGGTTTAAAGTGATATTTTATTAAATCAACCAAATTCACAGAAATATTGTCTTATATGAACAAAATACAATAATCATCAATACGCGTTCACACAGTCAACTTTATTTAAACGTTTCACTGATATAAAATGACCTTGAGTTGCTAGAAAAGAAATGTATACTGACATAACTGCGAGATGACTTAAGGAGCCGATGTAATCGGTTATTTGAACCGGTTCATTGAACCGAACTGTCCAAATGAATCGTTTCGCTGAAGTGAATCGGACTTTGCAGCACTAACACTGATCACAAAAAAGGGGTTTGTAATATCACAACATGGAAGGAGCGTATACTTCACAAAAAGTGTGGAAATGTGAGTCTTTTTATATAGGGTATCTGAGCATGCGTTTAATCGGAAGTCCGACGATTTAGAGCGCTGCCATGTATGAGTATTTAGGGATATGGATCCCCGGTGGCCATGTTTGAAGTCTGAGGTGTATGCTGGGTATTGTAGTTCCCTGGCCTGAAAGTCTACAGCGCTTGAATGAGGTATTAGTTAAACGTGTTCAATTGAACACCTTTGTAAAACAAAAACAAAAAGAATTGTACAGTACTACAGTAATCACGTAATTTAATTACAAAATAAATGTAATTGTAATCAGTTACAGTTACTGAGAAAACAATGTGTAATCAAATTACAGTTACTTATGAAAATGTTAAGGATTACAGAGGGGGGGTTACATCTGATTCCGTTGTTCACTTTCGTTTGGAACGTCCCTACAAATGGCGTCCCCTTCCCGAAGTGCTCTTCAAGGGTGCAAAAAAAAAGCCATTTGGAATTCGCCCTTTGTGTCTCTTAGTTCCTTGTTCTTTTGCTTTGCTTTCTTGCTTTTTAACAGAAGATTACATGTATCTTTTTGTATGAAATGCTCACCATAAGAAGTAACGTAATACAGAAGTCCTTCGAGGCCGTTTTAACCCAGACGGTAACCTTTGGAGTCTTGAAGACGCAAACGTTGGCGCTAATTGCCTTTTTAAAGGGGTCATATGATGCTTTTTTAAAGATCATTATTTTGTGTATTTGGTGTAACAGAATATGTTGACATGCTTTAATGTTCAAAAAACACATTATTATATTTTTCAAGCTGTTGAAATATGCCAACAAATGGTTCTTTTTGACTTGAACAGCATGTCAACGGCCGCATCAAACAGAATTAGCAGGTTTAAACATTTCTAAAATCCATCTATCAAAGTCAAATAGAATTTGGTGATCTACATGGCTCCAAACTCCATCATGTCAAATAATAATAATAATAATAATAATAAAAACCTCCAGTGCAACAGAAGCTAAAAAATGTGAGGTTTCCACATTAAAAAACACATTGTAACCATACAGCAAAACAGAGCTCTAATAACAGCTCTGGGGGAACACGTTACCAAAAAAACCCGGAAATTAAAGAGCAATAAATGATTGCTTAGCTTCAACAGAAAAAGACACACCTTTGACGCAACATTCCCCAGAAACATTTTGAGACACAACTCGCAATCTGTCCCACTTTTCTCTTAATTTGGTGTGATCTTAACCCTGAAGATAATAGTAATAATAACCATAATAAGAGCAAACAACATGGTAATTGTATTCAAAATTGAAAATAAATGGTTACAAAGGACCAAAACGCATACAAAATAATAGACTTTTGGTTTTCTAACAGCTGAAGACACAATGTCTTGCTAAAAACTCTTTCAGCACTCATTCATAGATCAATGGAACACAAATACAACATGGAAGAATAACGAACAAAAGGTCAAGAATCAATACAAACAACACAATAACATTAACAGCTTGAAATCAGCCAACAATGATAAAAGTAAAAATTCTATAATGCATATTAAGATCAAAAAGTCAGACATAAAAAGGCAAAAAAGTGTGTCTTTTTCTAAAAACATGTTTTGGATGCGTATTTTTCTATATCTCATGAATAAAGATAAAATATTCATGTATCCCCTCCCTCCTCCAGCCCAAAACAAAATGTAAAATCAATGGCAGTTACTTCAGAGATCATAACATGCAATTGATATACTTACAGCACTGGACAAACTATTTCTCCAAACTACCACCCTCCCCCGCCCGAATCTGACCCCAAACACATCCCTCCCACCCAATCCCAGTACAATCCTTAAATATGTCAGCTCAATGAAGAAAAACAAAAGAAAACACTCTCTATTGATCGTAAATTCTAGCTGAGGACATGATATTCACTTGCTCGTCATGGAGACTCCAGTAGTTGCGTGTGTATATACAGGAAGTTCCGGGGGAAAACACAAACGGACTTGATTTGAGTGACTGCATAGTGAGTATTTGGTTTAATTACAGATGGGGCAACATAATAATTTAACAAAATAATAACAATAACAACAATTCTAGAAAGCAACAAAGACACAAACAACATGACGGCAAAGTACACACCTGAGCACATACTCCAAAAATTACAGTGGTGCTGCAACACACACGCGCACACACACGCATAAACGGATAAACAATAACTAATGAAACAGCAGCACGCACTGGTTTAGTTGGTGTTAGGGGCGTGTACGACTACCGTCAGCAGAAATGGGTTCAATATCTCGGTCCTATTCACAGAAATGCCTTTTTCAGAAAATCAAAACACACACACACATAAACAACTGGTGCTTTGATTTCAGAATCGCTTAAAAAAAAAAAAAAAAAAAAAAATAAAAAAGAAAAACAAAAACACACACACACATAAACAACTGGTGCTTTGATTTCAGAATCGCTTAAAAAAAAAAAAAAAAAAAATTACAAATGAAAAACAAATTAGAATAGTGCCAGAAAACAGTGAATGGAAGTACACTTTAAACCAAGCATAAACCATATAGATTAGCATCTCAGATCATATTTCCATAGAGGTGTGTGTGTGAGCAAAATAAAACCCCAACAGTGAAGGGTGACCCGCCACTGTCTCACAGGAAATTACATCCATGAAGCTGTATATCCCTCATTCGAGGTCCTCAGAATAACAATCCAGCATCATCTAGTATAACAATAATCATCCTAATGACAACACCACTGGTTTGAATCGGTTTTTATCGATGACACCTTTGGTGTGTAATGCTGCTGGCATATCTATAAGGTCTACTGAGAGAATGACGGACAGACAGACAGGCAGGCACCACAGTATCTGTGATGAACATCAACACCAAACAGGAAATCAGTCTTATGTCGACAGCAAGTATCCTATTAGAGATTCTATTTGGCATCTGAAAGGAGTGAAGAAACTATTGGGAGGTAAATAGTTGCAGCTCATTGTTGAATATAGTGTTAGGAAAAACGAAGCATGTTACATATTTTCTGACCTTTTGATTGATTTGTCAATCCAATTAATTGGAAAACTAATGGACTTCCAAAATGGCTATCATGATCAGATCCCAAAGGAATCTGCAAACTGCTGAATTTGGGGCAAAATCTCTAGTCTTACTTGACTAAAAATGTGTTAACTGAATAGTCAAATTAACAATAGCGCAACCAAAACAGAGAAAATATTTAAAGAGGAGAACGTATTACAACTGATGCGTTTGATTAGAATAAAACTCATGAATTTATCCACCGCAGGACAGACACAGGAGGACAATTACAAAAATATCTGCCTGCGTGACCCACAGCTGATGGTGTGTAACAAAGGAAATCTAGCTCAAATATATATAGATATTACCAGCTGGTGTCTATTATTTTGTACAAATAACTGGAAGTCATTCTTATTAGTTGCCTACAGTGAGCGGTGATGTTTGTATGAGGTTGGCATAGTGCCGTAGTTTCAACAACAAAACTAGATATAAATATAGATATAGGTCTATACATTCTCAATTTTCTTCACTTCCTTGCATTCTCTTTGCTTCTTAAAGGATGACATTATGCATTTTACAGGTAATTATTTTCCTATTTGGTAAATGTGTAGATATTGCTGTGTTTTATGCATTTGGTTCAGAAAAAAAAAAGGATTTTCCTTTGGGGAATATAATCACTGACAGCAGCATCTAAAGTAAACAGTAGCAGCAAGTAAGATAATAAATAAATATAATAATAGTAATAATAATAGCAGATAATAACAGTTTCAAGGATAATGAAAAACAGTAAGATGCATAACAACACAAACTAATTAACACCTAAAAATAAAAATTGGTACATTGGTTCAAAACAATTGAAAGCTTTTATGCAACGTCCAGCTAGCTCACAACACTGTGATCTAGAAAACAACCAACACCTGTTAACTGTAAGCCCTCAGCAAACCTCTAAAAATGAGCTGATACTTTCTGTAAGACTTCACTGGAGACTTTCTTTAATACTTTCTATATGCCTTCCTCCAATTTTCCCTTCCCATCCCGTTATTTCCTCTGCTACGTTCATTACTCTTTCTTCAATCCCTTATATATCACCATACTTCCCGTCTCAACGTACCGTTACCATCTACATCTTTTTCATATTTTCTTTTTCTTCTCGCACTCTTTCTCACAGTCTAGCAGTGATTTTGGCTTTTGAAAGCAGTGAATCTCAAACTCTACAGCTTTGGTTGTGAAAGTCGCTGAACATCTTCAGCACAACCCACGAGCAGGTGCTGAAATCCTCTAAGAACAACAGCTTGGCAGAAAAAAAGCAGTGCTGTGTCAAAAAAAACAAGCTTTGGTTTGCAGGCACTCAAATGCTCATGGGAAAAAGAGAACAGTGAAGAGAATGAAATGATGAACGGTTGTCTGGGAAGAGGAGTCAGGTGAATCAGAGCAGAAATCTTCCCCTCACAAAACAAGCCAATTTTTTCATTCTTGTGGAGGAAATGCTGGAAACGAACTGCTCTCGCTGCAGAAACTCCAACTCCCCCGCATGTCTCTCAACACCACTCTAATGGCACTTTTCCACTACATGATACGGCACGGTACGTCTCGGTACGGTTCACTTTTGGGGGGTTTTCCACTGGGTACATACAGTACCTGGTACCTGGTACTTTTTTTAGTACCACCTAGTGATGTCCGGTTCGCGAACGAATCGTTCGATTTAACCGGTTCTTCTTAGTGAACCGGTTGAACCAGTTCACCAAATCTGACTGAATCATTTGAAACGGTTCGCGTCTCCAGTAAGCATTAATCCACAAATTACTTAAGTTATTCACTTTTTTAACATGGCTGACACTCCCTCTGAGTCGAAATAAACCGAGTCGTACCACGCAGTGGAAAAGCACCATAAATGACTATGACAACATCTCTCATCTATGCTTTTGGTGACTTGATTGCACACTCTAAGACTGAAACACAGCTAAATCTTGTTAAAATACCCATTTCTAACACTTGTCTTCCTGAGGTGTGCACTGTGTATGACTACACATTCTGGGCTAATTTTTTTGTGTTTTATCTAGTGATAGACCGATACATAGTCCAATATTTGGCCATTTTGAGATTATCACCATTGCCTGATGAACAGAAGTGTTTCGAGATATCGTCATCGGCCAATGAAAGTGAAGTGTGTAATTTCTGAATGACTAGCATAACAGAATTACACAAACACCAACGTTACTTATAAACGTTATAATAACATTTTCAAACAGATTTTCCAGAACATTTCCCCCGTTTGCCATTGGTCAGACAAAGCAGATAGTCCCGCCCCAAATTTACACCATTGGTTTAACCAATGTCTCTGAGTCAGGCTTCTCAAGCAAACAAAAATTGGTAATTTATAGTTGTCTCTGCATATTAAATTGGGATAGACATTTCATCTTATCGGTCAACCACTAGTTTTATCTTAATATACAACCTTCTCTCTTAGCCAATATATATATTTTCAATACATAAAAATTCTAGACCAAACTAGTTATAGCAAGCTAAACACCAAGGATTAGAAATTCTACGACTAAGAATCACTAACTCTTTAAGTACATGTTACTGAAATATCTGCTGATGCTTGCCAGCAAAAGAACACTTCTATAAAACAGTTTTTGATATATCACACCACTATTATCTCACTAATTTCTATTTGCTTAGATTTGCCTAATGGCTAAGTGTACTTAAACCATACAGGAAAGTGAAGAGCTAGGACTGATAAACGGATAACACACACACACACCATTGCACAGTGTTGTTCGACTACTCTGTTCAGTCCCTGAGTAAGGGGCTACGGAGGATTTCATGACATGTGGATTTGGATTTTGAAGTGAACGGATTGTACGCTTACTCTTGTGGCTAACCTTTATATGGCAGTCAGTGATCGTGATTTAGTGAAGCAGTGTGTTACTGTAAATGTATGTGTGTGCCACAGTGACTGTGTTAAACTGCAATGGTCCATCCTGTTCGATGGGTGGATGAGAAGGAAAAAAAAAATTTCAGATTTACATCAAACCTGCCCAGGATTGTCTGTCGATCAGTCAAACTCCCAAATTAACATTCTCTCTTTGTTTCAGCCATTTCTCTCTCTCAAACGGTCTATTTCCACTCCATCCTGTCTTTTTCGTTTACATCATTTATATTTCAAACCTGTCCATCTGTGTCTCTAAATCAACCTCTCAAAATCGGCATAATTCTTTCTCTCACGACATCCCTCCGTTTCTCTCGATCCCCGCCTGGCTACCTGCTGAAAAGAGAGTGGAGCTGGTGATGGCTGAAGCACTGGCTGCTGCGAGGAGACTCTGTGCGCTCCATCACCGTCTGGAACCAGCCCGCCACATCTACTTCTGACACTTCATAACGACGGATAAAACTGTGTTCCTACAAAAAAAAAGACCACTTGTGTGAACAAATGATCAGAAAAGTTATACAAACTGGCTATATTAAAACTGAGCACTACAACAAATGCTCGAGTTACGTGGGAGACTGAGACTTACAAGCAGCTTGTGGTATTTTGGCCTTTTTCTGTGATCCTTTGTGAGGCTGTAGAGACAGAGAAGACTTCGATTGGAACAAAACTCACACATAAACACAATAGACAGATACTGGTGCTAAAATTTCATGTATAAGTAAGTTCATGTGAGTGTACCAGTCTTTGACGAAGGACTGAAAGTCAGGGGAAAAGCCCATGCTGAGAGGAAGGACCGGTGGGTCCTCTTGCAGAACTTTGGTGAGAACCTCAAAGTCTGTCTTGCAGTTCTTGTAAGGAAACTGTCCCGTGGCTAGCTCCACCTATGGGTGAGGAGGAATAACAACTTATAGTAGTACATGTAGATTGTATTTTGAAATACATCTCTTTAATTACATTAACACTACTGTTCAAAAGTTTAGAGTCGGTATGATTTCTTAAAAATGTTTTTCAAAGAAGTCTCATATGCTCACCAAGGCTGCATTTATTTCATCAAAATAGGGCTGCACGATTAATCGAATGTGATTGTCATGCATATCTTGTCAGTAAAGCCGGTTCTGTGATTAGTAGTAAATCTCCAGCACGTGCTTTCAGATGGAGCAGCATTTACGCTTGTGATGATAATGACAGCTGTTTGCATAGCTTCTCATGAACTACGGCTCTGAGTAGTAAATGCTGCTCCATCTGAAAGCACGTGAAAATACCACATTTAATAACATGTTTTTACTCCAAACTCACTTCATAACGTCAGTCGAGTGTTTGAAATAAATCCTTCTGTGAGATGATGTGGCTTCTTAAACAGAATAAGGCACGCAACATTTTTCATAGTATTCTAAGCAGTGATATTAGCAGAGGCTATATGTCGATTAGCATTGCATTATTATATACTTTATTATAATAAAAATTATAGTAAGACGAACTCAGATAAACCATATATTGTCGTAGTCGTGTGTTTATTAGTCACGTTGAATTAATGAAAGCAGTTAAATCTTCTGTTTATTCAGCAACCGCTATAGGGATTTCCTGGGTTTCTTCTGCGAGGCGTATTTGGAGTTTCAGCGCGAGCGCCCTCTGGCCTTCGGATGGAGATTTACTGCTGATCACAGAACCCTGCTTCACTGAAAGATACGCATGACAATCGCAGCTTCTGCCTAATCGCAATTTATCACCTTTGCGATTTAATTTCGATTAATGGTGCAGCCCTAAAATCAAAATAAACAGAAATATTGTAAAATATTATTACAATTCAAACTAACTGTGATGGCAGAGCTGAATGTTTTAATTCCTAGCTAAATAAATGTATTAGTTTCTGTTGTGATCCCAAACTTTTGATAAAAAGTAATTAAAAGAGTGACCTAATTAATTATATAAGACCCCCTACACAAATCCAACTGCTGGTCAGCAAAGTAATCCAAGTAAACAAGTGTTGGCTCAACAAAATGTAGAAAGAACTCACCAGAGAAATGCCAAGACTCCAGACGTCAGCTCTGATGTCATAGTCTGGCTTACTGGGGTCTGGAGGGTCTATTCTCTCAGGCTAGAAAAAAAAAATATATGCACGATGCATAATATTTCACTTCATAATATTTTATGTATTTATTTTAAATTTTTCAAAATCCTGAAACTGTATGACTCTGAAACTCAAACTCTGGGACCATGTGCTTACCGCCATGTAGGCAGCACAGCCGGCGCTATGTATGATGCATTATATGGTAAAGGTTGCCAAACAATAAATCCTACATTATGTCCACCTTTTGCTTTAATGACAGCAGGATAAATTAGATTACTTGTTTAGTGACTACAAATAGTGCTAAAATTTAAAGATTTCTTTTTAATTTGACCTCATAACATTGTTTTTTTTGGTTTTTTACATGTTTTAAAATCCTGAAACTTTATGACTCTGAAAGACTTTAGGACCCTATGCTTACCGCCATGTATGCAGCACAGCCGGCGCTGCGAGTTTTGGCCTTAGAATCTACCAGTCGGCCACTAATGCCAAAATCACAGAGTTTGATCTGCCCTTTGGCATCCAACAGGATATTAGATGGCTTCACATCTCGGTGAATGACACCATGTTTCTCTTTTAGATAAAGCAGAGCCTTTACAATCTACATGAGAAGAAAAAAAGCAAGATGAAAAGAGATTCTGAGAGGTTCAACTTGCAAGCAGACCAATATCTAACCAGTAAAAGATGCCATTCTGAATCAGGTGAATTTAAAGGAAGACTTACGGCCACGGTCATCTTTCCCAGAATGGCCTCTGGTATGGGCCCCTGGATCCGCTTCTTCAGCTTCTCTGCACACGTCCCCATTAGTTCCATGGCAATGAACACATCCGTCTACAGAAGAAGACACCACTGAATAATTCAAGTAATTCAATACATTCACCACAAAACAGTGGTACTCAGTTCAAGGTCCAATCTGTAAATTTCTTTGCCAGCAAAGGTCCTAAATTTTTCAAACTTTTTTTTTTTTGTACTTTAGGAGTCAATATGGTATATGGCTACAAAATTAAATAAATAATACAGATTTCATAAATATTCATCAAATTTCAGTTTGGCAGCTAAATCACTATAATGAATCCTAAATAGTTGCTGATTCAAGACCCATTTTTTCCAAAAATTTAAAACTAAATTTGGAACCATTTTAAAAGGCATCAGACCTTTTCACTTCATCACCATAATTTTTAAGAGTAATAATGCCTAATTAAGATCTAATAATGATTAATAGAACTGAAATTCTAATAAAATAAATCAGATCATTAATGCCACAGACCTTGGAAGTGGTAATTGAGCACAGATCGTAAGTGTGTTACTCACATTGGTGACGATTGCTCCATAGCACTGAATGATGTACGGACAGTCATGACTCTTCAACACAACATCTAGATCCATGAGGATTCTCTTATTCTCATCTTTATTACCTGTCCTCCTCATTTGCTGAAGGGAAAAACACACATGAAGGAAACACGCTCAACATAAACACTACTAGAACAACACAAACCAAGAGCAGTGATGTAATTAGTAAACAGTAATTACTCCTGCCTTAACAGCTGTTTTAATGACTCCGTAATTACAAAGAAAGTTCAAGACAACAAAAACATGGATAAACAAACGGCTTCATCCAAAAATTTGATTATGCATTTTCTGGATATTTGAATTTCTTTTGGCTTTAGTACAATGACAAGTGCAAGGGATTGCAAGGGATTCATCATATTTAGGGTTGTTGATCAAAAGTTTTTAAAACCCTTAAAAAAAAAATCCCATCCCAAAAAAAAAAAATAGACTAACTCTGCATTACCAGGGACAACAGATTGAGCAGAGAAACCGGGAGCTGAACAGACCTTAACTGCGATAACATGGCCAGTCTTCTTAAAGCGAACTTTAAACACCTGTCCACAGGTTCCACTGCCGATCTCCCCCTCACTGATCAGATCCGTCACCTCTGCAGGGTAACGCTGAAAAAGATACACACTCAAGAGGTCAGACACTTTTGCCACATTCAATAACTCCAGAATATGACCGATGACTCACCTGTCCGTCAATCTTCAGATATCCAGTTTGTTTCATGATTTCCTGCAGCTTCTGGTCAATTTCAGCACTGAAGATAAAAAAAATAAACAGATCAACACACCAGACTTTTACATTCTTAAAATGAGAACCGAGCAAACTCCACTATGCTGTGTGTGTGACATACTTCTCCAGGCTCTTCTGTAGGCTGTAGGTTGGGGTGGGAAGCGTAAGCATTTGTCGGGGTCTGCTAGGGTACGAGGGGTGTTGAGGAGAGCTTTCTGAGGAGGACGAGCGACTTCCTCCATCGTTGGCCAATGGTAACTGTAGGGCTGTAGAGTAAGACAAGAAGGTTGGAAGGAGTCAGAGAAAGAACAGAAGACAGGAAGCCAGTGACCGTCAATTCATGCTCATTACTGGGACAAATGTTAATGAATGTTCAAGGACCCTAAATTAAGATCCTCAGGTCTGAGGGCCCAGAATATGACAGCTGATCCAGATTCAATCTGAGGTCTATTTTTCCCCTCATAGTACAGTAGGCTACTGAGAATTGGGGTAACATGTATAAAAATAGTGTCACAATGAAACATTATTCTAAATCAAATTCTTAATTTTCTGATAATATAATAATATCAAAAATACAAAAAGATGTTTTATTGCAAAAACAAAACTAATTGTTATGCATAAAATAAAAACGAATTAATATTTTTATTGTATTATAAGTATTGTTGTTAAAACTATTATTCCATTTAATATAAAAATAAAAACAAACATTTATCTAATAATAATAATAATATATCAAAACAATAAAATAGATTTTTATGATAATAATGTGTGCATTATTATTAGTTATAATATTTTATCTTATTTTGTATAATAACAGTTTAGCTTTATATTAATAATAATTATAACTATTATTATTATTATTAATCATTTGAAATATGACCTAGATTTTTCATGACAATTTTTGTGAAATTCACTGCATCCTAATAGTGAGCTGTGGAACACATTTTGGGTGAATGTTTAATGACTATCTAGAGGAAACGGAGTCTAAAGAAAGCCCATTTTACCATCCGAGATGACATTTGTGACCATTTAAAATCCTGAGAAAACATCAGTCAAATAAAAGTCAAAGTCATGCCAAGATCAGACACACTCACACACAGAAATGACAAGGGCTGCCAAACAGTGAAAACCAGCCATTGGCGTTAGTGTTAGCATTCCCAGCATGCACCGGGACAAGCAGGAGTCACCAACGGGTGACATTTGACATTCGCTCACCAAACCGTGCAAAACTAAACATTTTATAGATTTCCTATATGTTGTTCGAGCATAGAAACAACACTGCTTTTTCAGGAGAAATGGATAACTGTCGAACTTCTGATTCCTCCTCAGGAAAACCTGTTCATGGGAGAGAATCTGTTAGCTTGGGTTAGTCAGTGAGGTCAAGCAATTTGGTGCAGAAACACCTGCTGGACACACACATACAGGGGCTAACATGGCCGTAATCCACATCTGTGCAGAAAACAGAGCCGAAGCTGTCTCTTCCAGAAAGAACGGACAGAGAGGTGTGAGACAGGAGAGGCCAGACAAGCTCAAACCCAAGTTACAGTTGAACACAGAACACACTGTCGAGTGCCGCCATAGCTTTGTGTTTGTGTGGATGTGTTCGCTCACAGTCGTGCCGTGCAGTTATAGCCACAACATGCATTATGTCTGATCTTCCAACAAATCCTACACATAAGTCTCACATTCACAACACACACGCTTGCTGCTCCTTTTTCATGGTGAGGTGGAAAAGAGAATGAGAGAATGAATTGAAGAAATGAAAAAGAGGAAGATGATATTTTAATATAGACATATAGAAGTGAAGAAGTAAGATTAATATCAAGAGATTTCAGAATGAAAGTAGGAGAATGGTCTCTAAACAAACACCATGCATTTGATGAAATTAAAGAAATGCTTATGTAAGTGAGATTAATGACAGAAAGCTGTATGAGATTAAAGCCAACATGAAATAAAAACTGACCCTATTTACTTCATTAATCACTTTTCAGAATTTATTGTGGATTTAAGGTTGAATCAATACCAAAAATATGACTAAAATGGCTGACAATATATTCAATAGTTAAATAGTTATTCAATAATTAATTCACATTCGATTCTTACCGCTTTTTGTAGTTAACATGCTCAATGAGTTTGGCTATTTATTTGAAAGAAATTAACTATACAGTATTATTCGGAAAGGATGCATTCAATTGATCAAAGTGACGGTAAATACATTTATAATGTTACAAAAGGTATATTTATATCATTTTTATAATGTTTTTTTTTTTCCCACAAAAAATATTAAGCAGCACAAGTTTTAAACATTTAAAATAATAAATGTTTCTTAAGCAGCAAATCAGCATATTAGAATGATTTTGAAATGATGCTGAACATTTTGCTTTGCAATCACAGGAATAAATTACACTTAAAAATATATTAAAACAGTTCTTTAAAAACAGAAAACAATTATTTTAAAACTGTAATAAATTATCACGGCTTTTACTATATTTTTGATCAGATAAATGCAGCTTTGGTGAACATAAGAAACTTTTCAAAAACATTTCAAAGATTTTACAGACCACAAACCTTTATATAATATTCATCTGGATCACAAACGTCAATTTGCAAAATGAAGATATTGCATTTTACTTTAATACCACATTACAACCCCATTTTGAACTATACATGAGTGCACATTAATCCAGAGCATTCATGATCATTCGTCAAAATGTAGCAACAAGGCTCTGCTTCTGAAACAACTTTGCTTTTCATCTGACATACACCTGTCATATAGAGACTGCTTTTCACATCCAATCAATTACTGATAGATAAAATCAAGTCCTGCCCTGCATTTATTATTGCTGAACACTCGGTTTCATTCCACACTGTGAATGTAAAAAGAGAAGTGAGTGTCATTTCATGTTGACTTTTTGATAGCGAGTGTGGGAAAGAGAGAAAAAGAATGAGAGGTGGTAGAATTTTAAAAATGGAGAAGGATGACTGAGAAAGAGAAGAGAGCAAAATAGAGATGCAGAGTGTGATGTAGTGCATGTAACCTGCAAGGTAAAGAGAGAGAGAGAGAGAGAGAGAGGGAGAGGGTGATGCAGCGTGATGTAGTGATGATGATGATGATGATGATGGTGGTACCTGCGCGCTGGGAGGGGGCTGGAGCTGGACTGAGCTGGATCACGATGACTAGATACAGAGGAGAGAAAATACACACACACTCGTTACTAAAAGCCCACACACACCTCCAGGAATCACTGCGTCCCTCTCTTCAAACGTTATGATTCACCTTCAACACGATCACACTCCACCTAACCTAAATAATACTGACACCATCTGAAAAAAAAACTACATACACATCCAGCTAATGACAGAGTATGATATGGGGAAAATCTGTTAATTCAGCCGAATGTATTTAAATATTTTAATATTTGTTATACCTGAGAAAATACTACATTTTTATTAGCTGAAACTATGATCAATTAAAAGGAAATTTCACCCAAAAACAAAAATTCTGTCATCATTTACATGTAAGGGTGTACGAGATTAACAAAAAAAAATAATTATATATATATTCTGGGATTTGATGATAACATTTAAACTTCTTCCACAAGAGAAAGAAAGCCATACAGTTTTGGAACGACATGAGGGTGTGTAAATTATGCCAGAATTTACATTTTTGCCTGAACTATACCTTTAAATTGATCACTAAACAACAAAACAAATAAATAATAAATAACTCTAAAAAATAAAAGTCGAACTCGCATACACTCAACAAACTCAAACACACCAATAAGGCTTAAACTAACTCTCAGATAAAATAAAAGCCAATCTTATAAATTCAACAAAAAGGCTTAAAAGGTTAGTTCACCCCGAAATGAAAATTCTGTCACGATTTACTCACCCTGAAGTTTTTTATGTGAGTAAAAGCATAAATTATGTTTATGTTTATCATATAAAACGATTGTGTCTCTTCAAAAGGCTTGGATTAAATTACTCAACTGAGATTGATTAGGGATGCGCCGATCCGATATTCATATCGGGTATCGGCTCCGATAGTGCCATTTTTCTCGGATCAGGTATCGGTCAGAGAGGACCGATCTAAATCCGAGATTTTTTTTTTTTCTCGATTGTGCGAATTATTCTGTGTTACTTCTGAAGCCATATGATAGCTTAATGTGAGCTACATATGAATATTTAAGTCCTTACATTAAAGTTCACACAAACTCTTTTCTCCGCTGTGGCTGTCAGTCATTCGTTCAGCCTTTAAACCCTGGTCGCGTTCGGTTACAGCAGTCAGCTCGGTAAAGCTCTCTCCAAAATCATTCTGTATTCCCATTATACTTGATTTGTAAATACATGTCTATGATTTTGCAAAAATCTACATTTATTTAAATGAGGGAAAAAAACTTCACTGGTATCGGATCGGTATCGGTCAATACCGAACCCTAGGTATCGGAATCGGTATCGGAGGCGAAAAAGGCGGATCGGAGCATCCCTAAGATTGATTTATTTTTTCATCCCTTTACGAACATTTTGAAGCATCAGAGTTTTGTGTGAAAAGACTTTCAATGGAGTGACAGAAATTTCTCAGATTTTCATTTAAAAAAAAAATAAAAAAAATCTTCATTTGTGTTCCGAAGACAAACACATTTTTTCTTGGAACAACATTAGGGTGACAGATGACATAATTTTCATTTTGGGTCAAAAAATACCTTAAAAACTAATTCTCAGATAAAATGAAATAAAATGCAGTCTCACACAATCAACAACTAACTCTCGGATCTTTTACTTTTCACTGAGATATATATATACATATCCTGACCATTTACCATATTACCAGTTTGCATATGTTGTCTACTGGCTTTAATCAGTCTACAAGCATGTAACAAAATCCAGATGCTCAAAATGATTTCTGTATAATTTAAAAACACAAACTGACCATCTGAAAGAGTTTTTGATCAGGGTATAATAAAAGAACCACCACGAGACAGAATCTGACATGAACACTGAGCGTCCAGGAGCGTGAAGTACTGGGACATCAGCACATCAATACAGAGAACAGACCTTACACTTCACTCGTGCAGGAACAACCCGAATCTTGTACATAAAATGAATGTCAAAATACTCTGAATGATCTGAAATGTCACTCCTGACACGATTCCTACAATGTGGCCATGTCAAGACAGTCCTCTTTAGGGACAAAAAGCTTAAGACACTAACGTTAAATTATAAAGGAGAAGAAAAAAATCATTCCTTTTCTCTAAATGCAGACTACTGACAGTCTCAGAGAAAACCAAACCAGCGATTCAAAACAATACAAGTCTGTCATGACTGATGATTGTACGACACTAAACACCAACAGCTTCTCTAAATGAAGATATTCCCACATGAAGACTGACATTGTGTGAGAACAGACATGGAAAAACGGACAGACTGATATGTGAGTATCAGGGCCTGCTAAACACAGCTAGCCGCCAGGCTAACGCTAGTGAGCTGACTGCCAGATATGTTTATTATTTATTTATTTACTTTAAAGAACAAATCTGTAGTAAACAATCTGGTGTACAAACCATGATTAATAAAATCCCCCAGACCTTTGACACAGAACCATGAGAGTCGATATGAGTGAAGTGTCAGGATTTGATCGGTTTGTTTATATCATGTAGAATGTGTGTTTCATCCCTCCGTCATTACGTTCAATCACTCGTTCACTCTCTCGCGCACTCACTTGGCCTCGGACGCGTCCGCTGCGGGCTCATGTCGATGTTCAGGTCGATTCGTTTACGGGCTTCTTTATTTTCCTGCTTGAGTTTCTCCTCGATTCGGGAGAGTCTCTGCTCCAGCGACGACATCTTGAAAACTTCAGCAGCACCATCGAGCGCCGCAACTCACTGCCCGCTAGCGGCGACCGAGGGAAGCACAGCGCCTTCAGCCGCCCTCTAGCGACCGAGGATAAAAAGCAACATTCAGATCCGAAATACGCACCAGAAATCAGATTCAGCAATCATATGATTTGTCTACGTATCCAGTAATCTTCTTACTTCTCATTAATGTTTTTAAATTTATGCTTTATTTTGATGTATTCTATAATACTGTTGTTATTATATTTATTACTGTTCCTGGCTCTTTTTCTGTCTTTTTTAATTGATGTTTTAGGTAAAACAGCGCCACTTGCCCCTAGCGGCCACTGCGGGTAACAACAACACTGACTAGCGGAGCAAGTTAGTTTTTTTTTACAGGGAAAAAGTGTCCTTGTTTAATTCAGGATAGTCTGTAAAAATGCACAGACAACACAACAACACAAACACGTGTTCATCTCAACAACAGCTTTATAAATACAACTAATGTGATAGGTTTGATGGATTGTATAATGGTACAGGACATGCATTAGTCTGCAGTCAGACAGTTTCCCATTTCAGGAAAAAAGGAGCAAAAGTTGTTAAATGATACACAAGTCTTTCATTTACAAATTATTTTTACGTATGTTTCTTTTTTTCAGTTTTGCTACACTTTGTTCACAGTGTGTGTGAGTTTCATTTTTTTGGCTTCATTCAATATTAAAATAAACAACAGATACCATTTTCTATTTAACGGATATCTATTTAAAAGCATGTATACAATTGGAGAAAGTATCTGCTCTTGATTGGACCTTGTGAAAATAATCAACACATTCTTTCTCCTATACTCCAGTACAATATTCCCATACAAAAGGTCAAATATTTGAGTTCTCAAAGACCTAGGTCTGAATCAAAATGATCTGTCATTTTGTCACAGGACACTGTCTTGATGTACTGTAGTTTTACATATGCTACTGTAAGGTAAATGACATGAATTCACTTTTCAGACAAGACAAATCTCCCACATGAGCTACTGTGCTCTCAGCCTACAAAAAGAAGCATGCGATTCAGAAAAACAGTCTCAAAATGTATTTAAAACTAAACGCAACAACAAAGTGATGAAGTAACGGACTGAATTTACATATTTCCTAGCGGTCATATTTAAAATGAGAAACACATTACGCTTTTTTTTTAATGATTAGCCAATCAAGATTTAAGTTTCTAGCCATTTGTTTCCCTCACTGAAGTGAAAAAAAATATATAAACAGGAAGAACAAAAACCAGGGCAGGCAGGAACAATATTTTAAGGCATTTTGTTTATGTAACAGGTTTGTTTGTTTTTGCAAAAATTCATAAAGGTAACCATACTAAAAGCGCACTTAATGAATGAATGGAGATCAAGCTGTCTTCAAAAAGGACTGCTCTACTATATTTCAATATGCTTGACTTTCACATTTAACCTGTAAGAGATGAAGCGCTTGAAGATGTATGAGAAATACCCAGAATGAACAAGTCTAAAGAGGTTTAACTCCTTACCGTGTTGAAAAAAACAGCATATGCTGGTTAGGTATGTTTTGACGCTGGGATGCTGGTTTATGCTGGTCCTTTTGCTGGTTTATGCTGGTCCTTTGCCAGCACATGACCAGCATAAACCAGCAAAAGACCAGCATAAACCAGCAAAGGACCAGCTTAAACCAGCAAAGGACCAGCTTAAACCAGCAAAGGACCAGCTTAAACCAGCAAAGGACCAGCTTAAACCAGCAAAGGACCAGCTTAAACCAGCAAAGGACCAGCTTAAACCAGCAAAGGACCAGCATAAACCAGCAAAAGGACCAGCATAAACCAGCATCCCAGCGTCAAAACATACCTAACCAGCATATGCTGTTTTTTTCAACAGGGTAACCACTGAGAACTCCAAGAGCAAGTACACATCCATTAATGTTCAAGCCTAAATTAGCCAATTAAATAATCCAGCTTTCAGCGTAACTCTCTTTATCCATCTAACGTCAAAGTGTCTGCAGAAAAGCATTTCCCAACATGCTCTTGGTCGTATCATTTACAAAAGCTCACTGAGATGTTTCTGTGTGACCTTTATTGATTTGCTTCAAGTTTGAAGTTGTGAAATATACCTTCACATTGTCTTTATTAAGACAAGATGCATTTTTCAAAAGTAGATATGACACTTGAAGACAAACCAACAATTTCAACAAGTTCAACGGTGCACTCGGTCATTTCATACATTTCATTTAAAAACATTTATTTAAAGAAATAAATATTACTTCTGACTAGAGTTTAAAAGTATGACCATTCACATGAGATGAAGACACTAGTCATATCAGTAGCCTAATAAAAGCCGTTTTATTTTACACGAAGAGGTCCGATGGGAGCCGCCATGTTGAGATCACATGACCAGCCGAACGTTACTCACTCATTTCAGTAACACACCTGTTATTGGACACTTTCACCAGCTGAATAAATGAATCATGGCTGACTGTGAATAATGCTTTTCTACAATTGCATCTGTAACTGAACACTTTAGTGTGATGCTTCATCCAAACCACTAGGTGTCAGTCTGAGTCGAGGCGCAATATATAAAAAAAAAAATAAATAATAAATATTTCAATAATTTAATGACACATTTGCATGCTCACAGTTCTCTGATGTCATTCATAATAATAATAATTAGTAGTAGTATTTGAATTCTAATTATAAAAATGAAAACAGAAATATATTACTGTTGTAAATTACAATTGTACAGAAAAATAATTAAAACATTCGATTATTATAATAATTAAATGTGATGCATTTCTTCATACTGAAACACCCAGCGCATCAGTTATTTAATTATATTGCAGCTTTTATTTTGATAACTACACTATATCACAAATATTGTGCAGCTCCATTTATTTGTTTATTTTAATTTTACATTTGATATAATTAATTATTAGCTTTTCATCAACTGATGAACCCTTAAAGGTCCATGAACCCCCATTTGGGAAACCCTCATTTACAGTACGAAAAAGACACTTTTTTTGAAAAAGATATTTGTTAAAGATTACATTTGAAATGTTTAGTATTTCACATAAAGTTACATATTATTAGTGTTTATAAAAGTAAAGATCTCTCTTACCCTGAAGAAAGGCTGTTTCTTTACATCCTCTGCATCTTTCTCACTGGAACCCAGTCGTCTTTCTGGATTTCTTCTTAGTAACTGTTTAAAATAATATGTCAAATTTCAATTTATCCACACTTCATTTTTACATAAAATTATATGCAGAAAATCATGTAGTTAAGACATTTCTGTTTGAGATGTTTACCCTCCTCATGATGCCAATGGCCTCTGAGGAAAGGAACCGTGGATAACGAACTTCATCATTCACTATGCTGTCAAAAACCTCCTCTTCATCATCACCTGGAAACGGGGACTAGAAAGACAGATTTAGATCGGACAGATGCCAAAACTGTACGAACGTTTCAAACATTTCAAATTTAAATGCTCCAATTTCTCACCTCTCCCACCAACATTTCATATATAAGCACTCCGAGTCCCCACCAGTCCACGGCCCGCGTGTACGACGTGTCTGTTAGAACCTCTGGAGCCAGAAACTCTGGAGTCCCACAGAACGTACTGGTCCGGTCCCCAAAACCCATACCTGAGAAAGAGACAAAAACAGGTCTGACAAATGCTCCTGACTATATCAAGCACAATCAAAAGTAAGTGAAAGAGAGAGAAAAGGAAGAGTCATTACCTTCTTTACACAATCCAAAGTCGGCGATCTTCACGTAACCCTCTGTGTCAAGCAGCAAGTTGTCCAATTTAAGATCTCTGGAGGGAAAAGCCAAAAATATATGCAAATATGTATTTAAAACATATATAACATTCTTTAGACAAAGCCAGAACATGTGCACACATTTTGCACCTTTAAACCTGCTGGTAAGAAACAAGCTTTCTGTCTTTAATCCGATTCTAACTGTTTTCAGGCTTTCTTCTTCTTCCATCACAGTGTTCACAGGTCCAGCACATTCACAATTCACGCAAAACACTCAAATTGGCCACTCTTGTCCTCGTCGTCACTTGAATCACGGAGCAGAAATGTCTCTCTACGGCATTATTACAGTGAAGATGCTCTCAGCAGAGGTCAGAGACATAGTCAAAGTCACGGAAACTGTCCTGATCCTTGCGCGAGAGCACCCGGGGTTCGCGAGGCGGCGTGAGAGTCGGCGCTTCTGTTGTGAATTCCTCATCGAAGTTGCTGATGTCTTCTTTTCCTCCGATAGTCGGAAGGAAGGGAGGAGGGAGTTTACGGAGGAGAAGAGCCTCCCAGTCCATATTCTGAAAAATGAAAAGTACGTGTATGAACATATAATTTATTTAGTTATGTTAGAATTTATGCCGTCATTTCATATGCAAACCAAAAATGCAAATGCAACACCAAAAAAATTACTTAAAAACAATAACTTAAAAAGAGGGATGCACCGATATTGAACTTAAAAGATATTAAAATTAAAGCGATAATTATATTCTTGTTGTGACTGATAAAAGATAAATGGCTGATAATAAAATTCTGTTATAATTAAATTAATAATTAAAAAAAAAAAATTTAAATGTTAGAAATGAATTTAGGCTTCAAAACAATATGTTTAGTTTTTAACTAAAAACTTTTTAAAAACTTAGTTAACTTTTTTGTCAGCCGAACCCTCCGGTCCCCAAAACCCATCCCTGAGAAAGAGACAAAAACATGTCTGACAAATGCTCCTGACTTCATATCAAGCACAATCAACAGAAGGACACGTAGAAAGGTAGGTGAAAAAAGTCATTACCTTCTTTACACAATCCAAAGTCGGCGATCTTAACGTAACCCTCTGTGTCAAGCAGCAAGTTGTCCAATTTAAGATCTCTGGAGGGAAAAGCCAAAAATATATGCAAATATGTATTTAAAACATATATAACATTCTTTAGACAAAGCCAGAACATGTGCACACATTTGTTTTGCATACTCACCGGTACACAATCTTGTTGTCATGTAAAAACTCAAGCCCTAAAACTACACAAGCAGCATAGAACCTGAAACACACACAAACACAACTTAAAAGAGTCAACAAAAAAATGTGGGAATTTTCCATTTTTTATTATATTTTCTACTTTATTTTCTACTTTGTGGGAAGTCGTGGCCTAATGGTTAGAGAGTTGGACTCGTAACCTAAAGGTTGCGGGTTCGAGTCTCGTACCGGCAGGGATTGTAGGTGGGGGGAGTGAATGTACAGCGCTCTCTCCCACCTTCAATACCATGACTGAGGTGCCCTTGAGCAAGGCACCGAACCCCCAACTGCTCCCCGGGCGCCGCAGCATAAATGGCTGCCCACTGCTCCGGGTGTGTGTTCACGGTGTGTGTGTGTTCACTGCTGTGTGTGTGCGCACTTTGGATGGGTAAATGCAGAGCACTAATTCCGAGTATGGGTCACCATACTTGGCCACATGTCACGTCACCTTTATCTTCTACCCCTAAACCTAAATATCACACAAAATTTTCTTTAAAGTTAATTCATAAACAAACAAAATGTTTTAAGCTCTTTGTCCCCACAATATACACTACAGTTCAAAAGTTTAGGGTCAGTAAGTAACTTTCTTATTTTTTATTTAGCAAGGACGCATTTCTTTTTCTGATGGATCAAAAGTGACAGACACTTACAATGTTACAAAAGATTTCTATTTCAAATAAATCAACTTTCTATTCATCAAAGAATCCTGATTATAAAAATGTATCATGGTTTCCACAAAATATTAAAGGTGGGGTAAGCGATTTTTCAAAAACGCTTTAGAAAACTGATTCGGGCCGACTAGCAAAACAAACTTGTAGCCAATCAGCAGTAAGGGGCGTGTCTACTCATGATGTGGAGGAGAGAGCGCTCAGTGCACATGACGGAAATTAGCTGAGCCGAGCGACAGAAAGATAGAAATGGCAGATAAAAAACAAAAGAGGAAAACATCTGCGGAACAAACGAAGGCTTAAGGCAATAAGGCCAGAAGTAGGACCCGTGTAAATATCGGATCATCTTTCCAGCGCTGGAGAGAATTCAAGGAGCGGGATGGCCTGCGATCGGACGCCGAGGTTGCTTTGTTTCTTCTCGATAGGTGAGTAACACCGTGTCTGTGCCACAACAGCTACAGTATTTTGTCGCACCGCTCGCGTCCGGTGTAGACACGGTGTAACATTGGTTTTGCTTTGTTTCACAGAACTAATCGTTGCCTGGATTGCATACGTATGTGTGGGGTGGAGCTGTCAAAATAGGGGTGAGACACTTCTGGGGTATGGGCGTTTTTGTTTTTGTGATTTCAAATGTCAACATTGGCTACCAGAAATCACTTACCCCACCTTTAAGCAGCAAAACTGTTTTGAACTGTTTGTTAATGATAATAAATAGTTATTGAGCAGCAAATCAGCATATTAGAATGATTTCTGAAGGGTCATGTGACACTGAAGACTGGAGTAATGATGCTGAAAATTCAGCTTTGCATCACAGGAATAAATTACATTTTAATATGTATTAAAATAGAATAAAGTTATTTTAAATTGTAATAATATTTCACAATATTACTGTTTACTGTATTTTTGATCACATAAATGCAGTCTTGGTGAGAATTCTTTCAAAACATAAAAAAAATATTTTGAACAGAAGTGTGTGTAATTTGAGGTTTTCTGATCTTTGTGGAGACAGTCCGGAATAGTCAAACCTGACAAAATGGTTTACATACACAGCTCGTGGCTCGGTGAAGACGTCTGCATGTATGTGCATCATTAGGTCGCCGCCTGCCGTGTACTCCATGACAAAACACACATGCTCTGGGGTCTGGAAACATGCAAACAGGTTCACGAGGAAGGGGTGCTGCGCACTGTTCACGGTCTCGAAAATGCGCTTTTCACACATCAAACTGAGGGAAAGAGAAAGAAACAAGAAAAAAATTAAAAACTCATTTCATGAAAAGAGAAGGAATCAACAAGGAAAAAGTTATTTTGTTTACCTTTCTACTTCATCTCTGGCCACGATGTCTCCTTTCTTCAGGGCTTTAATGGCATACATATTGCCTGACTTCTTGTATTCTGTCAACAGAACCTGACAGACATGGATATGATGAAAATTTCAGAGAGAATGCTAGGAGGGGAGAAGCTGTAGCATCAAAGAAATGATAGAAGGCAAGGAAGGTTGAACACTACCTTTCCAAAATGGCCTCTGCCAAGAACAGCTATTAGTCTGAAATCTTGCAGGCTCAAAGCAGTCTTCTTCTGTTTACTGTTCACACACAAACACACACAAACTTAGAAACCACTATAAAGACTCAGATATACCTGGGAATCTTTATATCCTGTGTTTGAGTGTACCTGCTCAGTGAATGTGTTCTGATTTGGCGTTCAGGTGTGGTGAGGTCAGGAGCAGAGACGGGCTCAGTGGCCTGTTGTCGTTCCTGTGCCAAGAAGCAGAGAGAGGGGAGGAGTTACAGGGAGATGGGGAGGGGTTAAAGAGGAAAGGGGAGGAGTTATAGAGAGAGTCTCTCACCGGAGTGCTTGTGTCCATCACATCTCGCCGAACGTCCACCTTCATTGGTGAGTCACAGTCTAAACTCAACTTCTCCACCGATATCTCCCTGTAACACACAAATACATAAGTAACGACAACTAAAAACACATTCCACCTTGTAGGACATGAGCTAGTTAACCAGATCCACTTATTTTACAATACTAATACTGTTTAGTAAATTAGTTGCAATCTAGTTGAGGTTTAGACTTGAATAACAGACAAGTGTTAATAAAAGTTATAATGAAAGTTAAATAAAAATAATTACAAAATTTAAAATAATTTATTTTAAAATAATAATTCACACTTGTTTTTTTTTTATGGAACCTATTCAATATGACTATACATTATTATTATTATTATTATTATTAATAAAATATTTTCTTTTATTAAATTATATAAATGACAAACCAATAAAGAAATATTACTACAGTAATAAATCTATTGTAAGTACTATCAAATTAAAAAAACACGTATTTTATTATTATTATTTTACAAAACAAATGTCAAATTGATTAATCTTAATCTTATAATTATTAATCTTAAAAGCTTTTTTTAATGGAAAACTTTATTATTGTATAGATTGTACAAGCTCAGCGGGTGATCCTTTTAATTATTTTTACGTATAAATGCACATGTACTATGTCTGTTTTTGTGTGAGATTTACCCTGTCTGTACTGTGTGTGCGTGAGGGCTGTAGGTTCCTGTGTTGTTGACGTTTGGTATGGCATTCCTCAGTAACCTCACCCACGTGCCAATATCAACATTCATCTGCCGAGCTCGCAAGAATGCTTTACCTGCATGTGACCACACACACACAGAAAACACCAGTTTAACCTCTGACCACTAGATGGCGCTCAACACAATACAAGTCACATGTCATAAATTAAAGTCAAGGTGAAATGACATTCAGGTCAATTTTAAGTGCATTTGGATAAATTAATCAACAGATTCCAGCATTTATTGTAAACAGAGAAAACCTTTATCTCCGTCTCTTACCCTGTTGCTTGGAGAAAACTTTCTTCTGCCGTTTTAGCCGTGGAACCCTCTCGATGACGGGGTTAAAGAAGGTAACCTGAGGTAGACAGATATGTGAACATATTTCAATGGTGGCCAGTTTAGCACATTTATTTGGTTTGGGTGCATTTATAAAGCAACTTTTGCAATAAGCAGTGAGGCAGACTCCCTTTATGGACATAAGAGACATATTTTTGAGTCAACATGTGTGTGCACCTCTGCCAACAGCAGTCCCTGTGGTTCTAGCTCTAGTTGTACTCTGTGTTTCTGGTTGTCCAGAAAATCCTCCAACTTGAGAAATTTCAGCGCACACAGAGATCGGTAGTCTCTCCAGTACACTGCGATCTCCATCTCTCTGGACTGCACACATAAAGACACACAATGATCAATATCAATATCAGAGGCAGTGTTTTTAGTATTACATTACATTTATATTAATTTATGCATTTGGCAGACACTTTTATCCAGAGCGACTTACATTACATTGAAGATATACATTTACATTTTATCAATTTAAACAGCTTTTAAATGTATATTTCCAGTTTTAATTTTAGTTAATGTTTTAGTAATTTTTTTATGTGTTTTTTTTTTTTGTTATTATTGTTATTATTAGGTTTTTTATATTTCTGTTCAGTTTTAATTTATTTTTATTTCAGTTTTGGTACATTTAATACTTAAACTTATTTCAGTTAGATTACAAGGTAATATTTTTTTAGTTTAGGTTTTTCATCAAATATTCATTTCATTTCAGCTTTATTTCAGTTACAGAAAACTATTTTTAATAGTTTCAGTTTTAGTTAACAACAAAGACACCGGTCAAGGAGATCAGAATCAGTATTTGTTCAGCTTAATTTAACAAATAATTGTCCAGATATTATATATCCTGACCGAAAAAAGACATAGAACCATGCAAGTCCTAATTTGCATGGTTGTTAACCATTCTGCATGTGCAATCTGCTTTTTTTCCTAGATAAGAATAGCATGCCCTTGCTTGCGTAAGAGTTATTTGAAATGTTCCAGCGGTAAAGTGACTGATGTTACACAGCCAACGGATTTTGATTTTGTAATTATAATTACAGCCTATTACTTGGAGCTTTAATTAATGAAACAGACGCTGAACCTCTAATCTGTGTAAATCTACTATTAACAGAGAACTGAACTCACTCTCTCCAGCTCTATGGTGAAGGTCTGATCCCAGCCCTGTTCTCCAACCATCTTCCACGCTGTCTGACCCACGACTGTGTTATCCAGCTTCAGTACTGCGCTCACCTCCGCTGCACACACAGACATGAATACAAATGTATCTTTTAAAGGGGTGGTTCACTGTTTTTTTTCTAGGCTTGATTGTGACGTCCCACCCCTCTCCTCAGCTGCATGTGCTCTGGTTGTATTGTAAACAACGTGTCCTTAATATCGCTTATCAGTTTGAGCCCGATTGAGAAGCAGAGGATATTATTGAAGAGG